TTGCCAACTTTGCAGAGGCATCTGAAGAGCCAGAATTAGTCCCAGGTCTTATAGATACGGGACCAACCTTACGAGCTTTTCTTCCCTTGGCTATCTCCGAAGACCGTGGTAGACTCAGAAGTTATAGAGGGCAAACGGTTGTCTGGGATGCAAGGGTAGTGTGCCAAGAACCTAAAATAACGAACCTGAAGCTACATCTCAATGGAACTACTATCATTGCAATCAGTGGGGAGGTCCAAAACTCAGTCACAGCCGATATAATCCAGGAACCAGAACCAAATTCAATCAAGTTCTTCTGTCCTATTCCTTATATTCCCCTACTATTATGGAGCCCGCCCATAATCTGCCAACTTCCAAACGCCGATATTACAACCTATAGTCTAGGTCCTCCGGTTAAGAATTACGGCGGTGGACTCAAAAGTCAATTCGGCCTCCCAGATCGCAAGAAACGAACCGGAGGAGCATATCTTGTCCTGAATCGAACTGTTTTAACGATACCGGAAGAAACCGAGTACTTGAACGAAAATCCTGGATGGATCCGGATCCAAAGAATCCCAGACTCTCTGGTACAATCCAGAAATATAAATGTCGCCAACGGAACGATTCTAGGAACTCTGTGTTACACACCACTAGACGCTGTTGACAGAAACGTCACAATTTCTAGAATACGACCGGTCCCAGAGTCACCGTTCAGCAATTATAGGCTTTATGAGCAATACGATCCGAGATCTATAAGTAATATTGGAAGATATTTATATGATGACATTTTACCGAAACTGGTACCCGGCGTGCCACGAAAGACTCCTGAAGAGCGAGGTTTCTTTTCTTTAGAGCCAGTTGATCCTAGCTGGGCAGCGGCAGAAACGGATGTTGCCTACACATCAGATGGACCTTGGGGCAATCAAAATAGCACCGTTACTTTACCGGGGCAAGTACATTTCTTGATGAATGAACTTCATCTGAAAGCAGGCATATACGGTACAAACGATGTCTTCATCTATGGCAACTATTCATTACTCCCAGACGATCAGAACTTCAAAGGTCAACAGGCTACATACAATACTCTAGAATACGCCATAATCGGTAAGACTTGGCAGGCGAATCTTTACACTGCGGTTAAGGATCACCCCGACGGAAACTCAGCTTTCGCCTTACAAGCTCTTCTCACAGCGATCGCGAGCACTGCGTATTACGACCAGCTTCAGAGGCTCGAAAGGCTCGGTTCAACATATCTCAATTCATTCCGGAACGTCTCATCCCCGGGCGGCCCCTTTGGCACTCGTCGAGGTGGCACCTATGCTATTCAACAAGGGGGGTTGTTTGCTACCTATGTGAAGGGCCAGGTCCCTGTCGGATATACCGTGGTAGTGGTTGTCTTAGCAGCCCATCTTATTATTGTAGCAATAATCCTTATACGATTCATAAAAGAGACAACGTTTACGAGGATTGGTGATCCATGGCAAGCTTTGGCGCAGGTTGCTACCCAAGATGTTGCAGCTGTGGGAACCGCTCTTCAGATCGGTAGGCAGGTTGAAAGTAGAAGAGACGCCGTTGATAAGGAGCTTGAAAACCTTGGTCAGCATGTGACTCGCGTCGGAGTCGAACAGCAGCTCAGTGGTTCTACCAGATTGAACCAAAGAGGAGGACAGGTCTGAGAGCTAGTCAACTAGCATGGTTTAAACTTTTTTTTTTTTTCCCCTTTCTAAGATATAATACTTGCAGCTACCTAAATAATTCATTTTTCTTTGCAATATTTGATACCTATCAAAAATTCAGCTATATTCGGATATAAGTATGCAATAACCCTGATTGCCATCTATTAAGCTACCCAAGCTAGCACCGGCATTCTTGGTAGTGCTCGGCAGCCTGGTCGTATCAAGTGTGATTTCGGATTTCGTTGCAAATTGGTAAAATAAAGCGGCGCCTCTTACGAGGGCCTAGGCCTTCACTGGGGCACGAGCGATAGAGACTCGCCCAATCGTCGAATCTCAAGTCACAGCCAACACATTGATAGGCGATCCGCATGCGCAACCGTCGCTCTCGTTTTGGCAAACTTGACGTAATTAGGCGTCATACCAGGATATAAGCACCTTGCAACACAGAGCAGGGTTCTCGGGACTAATAAGTACTTACTTGCTCACCTTGTTCCTCTCAATTTTTAAGTCCATTTCAAATCCCAACCAGAGCAATATATCAATAAAACTATCGTTAAAATATTTATCCACAATGTCGACCTCCGAAGACTACGAGCCGGTGTCGACGCATGCTTCCAGTATTATCCCCCTTCCAGCAACCTCTCCAACCCAAAGATATGGCTCCGCGAACGCTCCAAGCGACAGCCATGCACTAGCAGCTGCTGATCAAGATATCAAAGGCGCTGCGCAGATAGATCACAATCACCGAGAGGTCAAAGATCTCGGGTGGAACGATCCTACAGATGAGATTTCGAGGCCGTTGGTGGGTGGGTTGACGAATGAAGTGAGTTGACAATTATACGATGAAGAGTCAATGGAAATCGCTACTAATATGTCGTGTAGGAATTATGGACGTTAGTCAGGCGTTTTAACAAGGTATGAAGTATAATTAAATAGAATTCAGGAAATGTAGCTGATGGTTATTTCTAGCAAATATATCATGTTAAGGCTATGCCGCACGCCCCGCCTGGCGGGCTTGATCTCAACATTGCAGACGAGGATGAATTCTCTCCTGACAAATTTCGCTCGACGCTTGAAAGACTCTACATGACGGTGGTATGTATCAACTTCTCACGCTTCCAGTACCACTATGCTCACAATTGCCCTAGATTGTCGGCGTGATCGCAGCTTTTAAACACATTGCAAGACTCAGGTCATGGAATGAGAGAAAACGAACTGGAGTGTTCTGCGCAGTCTACTTCATCGCATGGATACTCGACCTTGTTATACCGCTCTTGATTGGATTTTTCATCACTCTTATCATGTTTCCAAAATCTCGAAGATATCTTTTCCCACCGACTCCATTAGCCCTGGTGGATATCTCGACAGGACAACTTCAACAGCCCGCAGCTGGTGTTCTAGCTTCTAAAGGCTCACTCACGGGTGCTCCTGAGAAACACGAGGGAGAGGCAGTAGAGCAAGAAGCCAGTAATTTCGTAAGCGGAATCGCAGCGATAGGAATCAACAGCGCGACAGGACAACACCCAGAGAATCCGAAGCAGGATGAAGAAGGCACCATTGATACTAAAGTTCCTGATCCGTCCAATGTTGCTATTAAAGCCGCAGATGCAAAAGATAAAGCAACGGGTGGAACCGGTAGAAAACACGATAAAGCGAAGGAACCGATGCAACATGCTATGTGGTCTAAAATGCGCCCCCTTATGCATGCCCTTGAGAGTGTAGCAGATACCTGGGAACGATTCGGAAAGTAAGTCACCTGAGCTCTTTAAATTTCTTTCGCTACTCTAACATATAAAATAGTGCATTGTCACCTACACCACCCTTCCCGCAGCGAGCGCCTCGCGTCCGACTTGCCGGGATTCTAGCTCCAGCTCTTTTGGGATCGTTATTTGTAACTTCGTACATGGTCATAAAAGGTGTTGGCTTTGGGGTAGGCTTTGCGTTCTTCGGCCAGCCTATAATTGACCGCGGGATCAAGTTACTAAACAGAGAGTTCCCTCATTGGCAGAAGCTACTCGAACTTCGCAAGTACGTATCTGTCCATGGTCGCGCAGATATGAAGATGCTAATAATCCTTTCAGCACTGTCCTCAAGGGTATTCCTACCAACGCACAGCTCGCGATCACCTTGCTTCGTATTGGCGAGGCCAACAAAGCCCCAATCCCACCACCTCCCCGTTCTGCCTCTCCTCCATCTTCAGGTGCAATTACGCCTCATTCAGACTATGACCATGCCGAACTATCAGAAGGCCTTGACGCCACTCCTGAGGAACTCGACCAAGCCATCCGTCCATCCACTCCGCCACACGTGATTGAACCAGCATCAGCGAAGCCAGAGAAGAAAAAGACCGGTTCCAAGGTCCTCGCATTCTTCAAATCCACAACAAGAACCGGTGTCAATACGGCTCTTGGTACCGACAGAATCAAGGCTCAGGTTGGTAGCGAGCACGCTAAACAGCGACTGGGAATCTTGCCAGACGAGAAAGAGGTGCCGCCAATGGGACCCGTCGACTTCCCAGCGAGAATGCATGGTAAGAAGGGGTCCATCTATATCACTGCTACAGCGGTAACGCCCTGCATCTCGTTTGCATTTCAATCTAAAACCGACCAAGTCAAGAGTCTCATAACATCAGATAACAATAACAACAAAGATCAAAATGCGAATGGAGAGGCATTGGAGGGAGCAGGATTGAAACCGGTGTGGAGTGTTGCGATAAACGAGATTAGAGAAGTGAGGAAATTGGGAGGGCTGGGATGGAAGGGGAAATTAATTGTGGGGTGGGCATTAGAAAAGACGGTAACGGATGGACTCGAGATTATCGATCGAAGGGGGAATAAGTATACATGTACTGCGATCACTCTGAGGGAAGAGCTGTTCAATCGTTTAATTAGTATGGGGGCACAAAAGTGGGAATCGTGGTAGGTGGAAGGATGGTAGCTTGGTGAAATGGTGCTAGATTGCTTTGATTTGGTTTGTTTGGGCAAGATTCGTGATTGGTAACGATTGAACCGTTCACCATTGTATAGAACGGGAAAGCATATATAGAAAAGTAAAATAGTTAAAAACTCAATGAACAGTTCAGGCATCTCTCACTGGCAAATATGACTCGAGCAAGGATTTGAGCCCACGAAGGGAAGGGATTGAAAACACATGGGAGTAAAGATCAAGCGGCATTGGATCGGGCCAAGCGACCACAACGAAATCGGCCCGAACAAGCAAACTGCACTCTCGCTTCGCAACATCCAAATCCTCACTAGTTTCCAAGTTGCGAAATGAGGAGGGAAAAGGGAGCAAAAACACCAAAAAAAAATCGCCAAAAAAAAATCGCCAAAAAGATAAATCAAATGCATCATTCGGGAGTCGAACCCGAGCCGACTGCTTGGAAGGCAGTAATCCTACCGCTGGACCAATGATGCTGACAAAGACTTGGACGGTCAAAATCTAATAACAATCCATCTGGCAAAGCAAGCTGGGAACGAGGCCACCGAAAAACCAACAAATATCCCGATGGTGCTGACTAAGCTTTGGAACCTGTTGCGTTTTCGCTTTCGAGTAAATATCAAAATGTCTTCTTTTAAGTTGAATTAGTCTAACATTTAAATATACTAGAAGTTAGAGGCTTTTAAGGCATGTGATTTATTAAATATAATTTATATAACAGCTAATTCAATTAGGTGAATTTAGTAAACCATCCTGTCTACTATTCTAGAAGAATTGATGGTCAATTGATACAAATCCAACCTTGAAGATCTAATATACGAATATGGGATATCCTGGAGTTGCTAGAGTGTACAGAGTACGATTAGAATGCAAAATCCATCGGGTTGGCGGATTTGAGTACTAGTAAATATGAGAAGAGTACGAGCACGTGTTCTTGCGATGCCTCCAAAACTCACAATGATCGTAGCTTTGTAGGCGAAGTTAGTTTCGAAAGCTAGACACCGAGGAAAGATGATTGATTCTCAGAATGAAATAGAATTGGGTGTATATTTGGTACTCTTGGGGCATGTCTTGCGGCCCCTTCCGGACTTTGTTATTTTTATCTTTTTATATCGAAAAAGGGTAGCGATTAAATACCGTTACAACGGGGAATACGTGGATGAATGTGCTAAAACAGATGTATATTCTTTTACGACCGTATATAAGAATGTAAATTATGCCCGAAACATGGAAATCGCGATTACAATTGTGAAATTCGCATTTAAAGCTAGATATTTGTAGACCCCGACCCCCGTACTTGTAATATTAATATGAGGTGATAGCTGTTCTATTGGAATGCTGCCCAAAACTCCCATGACTCTGAAATATTACCCTTAAACCTCTTAGTGCTTGACCATCTACGCTATCCTGCAACTCCTAATAACGTATGGAACTTAAGTGATTCTACTAGGACTACCGAATATTAAGACCACATTCAGTTGAAAGGAAAAATGAGAGGGATCAGTATATTTACGGTAGTTATTGTCTACATATCTCATGTAACCTTGAGGGGCTCAGCAAGATTGCCAACCCCAGACTTACTTGCCAAAAGTGCAAACATTGCCTAACGATCGTATCCATTAATATCAGCAACTCTTCAAATTTTCTGTCTTCAAGATATTCTGGTGCTAGAATTTTTTGCATACTTTAATGGCATCCGGTTGGATGGGCTCCGCAGCAGCAGGCTGTGGCTTCTCATCCGGATTTACAGGAGTTGGTGGTGGCGGAACCCCTTCATCCCGGTGGATAACTTTTAACTGAAGATCTACAGGAGCAGCCACAGCAAGACAAGCTTGGATAACCATCAGAATCAGCCACTTATTAGACAGCATATTGTTTTGTCGACGATTTCAAAATGTAGGGACGGAGCGATCAAACGAGGTGTCGGTGATATACGGCGGTGTATCGTTGTGATTTAAGAAGATACCGTCAGAATGTTGAAATATTCGGAAGAACGTATGTTGAGGTGGGGTGATAAGCACTGAGAGGCCGCTAGAGTTTTATTTATACTTAAGAGCTGCCAGTTTTCAGAGCAACAAAGCGTAGGTTTAGTTTCTTATTTACAAGGGCAGATATGAAAACCGAATTATAGGGTGTAGCTATTAGTTTTCATAGCAAGGCACCAGTGAGACGAAGGGACATCTAAAGCAAGGGCGCTTGACCATGCCGATCATAGGATACGTTATATTAAAACTTGAATAATCACCGAGATACAAAATATTCGATCGAATCAAGAGATGATTTGTCAAGACAAAAGCTCCGGAGTTGATTGCCATGTTCACCCGACGCACCTGGCGTTCACCGCTTAAAACTTTTTCGATAACTTTCGAGTTCGTGCCATTGCAATACTCCCCACACGAGACCAGCAAAAACTGTTGCTCCTTCAGCCCAGCTTTCCGACTCTCTGTTTCGCACGCCTCACTTCCTTCATTTGCAACAATCGATCGCGATCGAACTCGAGCCTAGTCTCGATCTCATTGACTTCTATGTTAGGATTACCTGACGGTTGGCCCCAACACAAACAAATCCGTGAAGCAGCACCAAACGCAAATGCGATAAATATATGCAGGCTTCAGACCTAAATTTCCGAACGCGAGGGTCTTGGGGAAAGGGATTATTTTTTATGCAAAATTTAGATTGCATATATGCATATATGCTGATCGTGATTGAAGGTAATTTGAACAGCCATCGTTCGCGTTCTTTCCTTCCGACATAACAGCCAATTGGCGAAATTGGCACCGTGCAAGTTGGATGGCTTGAGCTTAATTTCTCGTTGGTTGCCTAAACTGGCTCGACTTATGTTGAAGGACCATAAGGCAACGGCCTTCCTGAGCTCTTAGAGTTTTGCTTGTCGTTCTCTGTTCAAATATATGTATATTTGCGAGATGGAAGTTGTTGCGGATCTGACGGAGATCTCCGCACAATCTAACAAGAAGCAGCAGCGAACAAGGAAAATTAAATTGAGTTTAATTATTGGCACCAACATCAAAATCTAGATCACAGTGACCAACGACGTACAGCCAGCGCCCAGAGTGTTCAAGATCAAAACTTCTAAGGCGCAAGGTCCGGGTGATATTTAACATCGTAATTTTACCTCGTATGCATGTATAAGGCAACTCCGTATTAAGTACTCAATCCAGTAATACTATAATGAGAAGAAATCGGGTTCTTCCTGTGCAATCAGAACTGTGGGTAGGATAACTCACGCCAAAGGCCCGTATATAAAAACAATCCTTATTCCCGTCATCTAGTCTAGATCATTAGTCACCAGTAATCAATCGGCGAGCTCGTATCCCAAGCTGCCAAGTGAGAAGGAAAGAACTCGGTTGTCTCTACATCGATCATCGTCGTTTCTACCCGTTTATCTATTCTTTCAAATTAAAGATCAAAATGCGCTTTCAAACAGTCCTCCTCTTTGTAGCATTTGTTTCTGCTGTCCCACTACAGTTACACCCAGCTTCCTCAGAGTCAACCCAGATCAAAGCTCGTCAGGACCCCTCAGGAGCACTTCCAGCACCCAGCAAAGGTATCGTCCCTCTTCATTTGCTTTCAAGGTTCCTCTTACAAGGAGCCACTACTAATTTCCTCATAATGCAGCCACTACTAACATGGATGTCAACAATGCGATAGAACAAATAGCGGCCAAGGCGTTAGCAAACAAGCGGGAAGCAGTCAGAGTAAACGTGAAAGCTGATGGAAAAAACTTTGTCAAAGCTATGTTGATATACTTTGCCGACGGTTCTAAAGTAGACAGGAGCGCATGAGTTTTCGATGCCAGTGCCGGAGCAAATAAAAATGTCGAAGGGTAAAATTTTCCTTATAAAAAACTGTAGTGCGGTTTAGTCTTGATTTATTTGTCAAATCATTTCTTACAGTCCAGTTGAGAATGGATGAAATCTTATAGATGATGGTTCAAAGCCCTGTTTTTCAGATAGCATACTAGAGATAAGATAAAAACAACAATTCGATTCTAAGGAGAATAAAGCTCAGATAAAGATCAATTAAATCAAGCAAACCCTCGGATCGAGACTAGAGAACCCTAACCGTAGGATCCGGGATCTGAATGTAAATAATCGTAAACATGAGATAGAAAGGGCTAGTCGTTCCTTATCTTTTCTTATCCGACTCTAGGATAATTTCTACGGCTCGATTTAGATTTCATGAATTCATGAAGTATATGGATTTAGCAAAATTAAAGAGTAAAAAATTGAAATTATAGACAAGAAAAATAAGGAGAATATATACAATTAGTCCAAACGTTTAGAATAGATTTGAAATTTATCACCCTGCCAGAGGAAATGATACATGAAAATTAAAAACGCCTTACGCTTTTCTTGACCGAATTAAAAAGGGTAGTGAGTAATGGATTTCATGACTTTTACAATTTTGCAAATTTAACTCGGCACTACTAGATAGTTTGTGAGCTAAAACTGCCTAACTACCGCCGCCAGAGCTAGATCAAGACGAATCCTTCAACTGGTACCGCGAAATCTATCGCTTATTAGGATTCTGTCTTTGAACATAAACAGATATCAGAATGTCTCCTGTATCATTAGGTCTACCGTCGAAAAGAACACTGTAAGCTTCTGCCTCGGGATCATCTGCAAACACAATCCCGTTCATATAAGACTTTACTTTGTTCAAGAATTCCGGCACATTGTCGTTGTACTTTCCTAGTTTCACCCTACCGAGTATATCATGCCCTTCGAATGTTCTCGGGTTTTCTAGGTGGTCCCTGACGAGGTGATGCTGGCCACATCCGGCTATAGTCTGGATCCCGAGACCCCAACCACTTTCGTTCTCCATTTCTGGAATGACTCTATTTTTCCGCTCCATCGACATCAAATCCAGAGCTAGTAATGGCGAGTTGCTGATTTCAAAGTCGCCGATGTGAGGTCTATAAATTTTTACGGTTACTTTCCCACGCCGTGACACACAGAGTAGCAAGTCTCGCCTAGTGAAAAGCTTGTGCCGCCGAACTGCCCTCATAAATCGGTGGCAGTGCCCGCACTGCCAACCGTACTTGTTAACATGTGCTGCCATAGGACCGATAACGGGCTCTCTCATCGAGAAATGGCAGACATTGTCCATACCGGTATACTCGTCGCTGAACCGCATGGATCGAAATTCTTGAAGTTGGAGGATTTCCCACCATAGCGGCATCACAGATGCCGCGTTATAGTGATCTTCGTATGGTAATCTTCGAAGAATTTCCTCATGTATTTCGACGGGTAGGTCGAGGATAGGGCAAGAGGGGTTGAAAATTCTCATGACTTTAGGGATCCAGCCCTTAGTAAGTATGGTAGACTTGCCGCTATCGAATTTGGGTTTTGTATTGAGATCAGAACTTATATAAACATTGGTCGTGTTCTTCTTCGAACGGACGGCTTGATAAAAGTCCTTCGCGAACCTTATTCTCGAAGCTGTACGCATAGCT